GCGGTGGGCCAGCAGTGCCAAACAAACTGCATGTATTAACTCATAGACAATTTTAGGCCCCAATCTTCTTTCAGTCTCCTAGCCACGGATATTCATCGTTTATATCTTTAAAATTTCTATAACACTTAGAGTCAGTTATCTGCAGAATCAGTGTTAATCCAGTTTTGTCAGTAATCCGTCTTGGGTAAACTTGAATTAATTGAACAGGGATTTGTTCTAGGGTCTCAAAACATTGAGAGTTGATTTCATTTCCTGATCTTGAATTATGTCTCACAATCCTGAACTATGTTCTCAGAAATTTTAGCTCTCTGAATTTGTACTATATTTCCACGTTACACTAGCTGTTTTAGTATGATCCTTCCTTTTCCGTTTGTAGCGATGAAAAAATTTCAGCCCTCTGTTACATGTTGACGTTATCGAAGAATGTATTCAGACATCGACGATTTCGTACGCCGCTTGAGAACGCATTTGTGGCAATAACAAAGGATGCATCATCGGCCTATTATCATGTGATGAGTCAGGGAACAGCTGATTTGATGCTCAGTGCATGCGCTCATGTTTGGTGCGATAATGCACTGGAACCGTTCACCGAAAGCTTGCATAAGCGAGTGCTCGATTTCTATCAAAGGAACACTATGACTGGGTTTGTTCGCACATTTCATCAATCTCAGTATAATTTTCAGTGAAATCGTAAAATCAAGAACCTTGTATATCTTAGAAAATATTGGTGCGCAAAGTGGGTCGAGTGATAATATTTCACAAACTATCTGCAAGACTGCTGATAGGTACTCTTTTTCCGCAGGTTAAATGAAGGCAATTTCCGTAAGAGGCACCTGTCGATGGTAAGGTTATGCAGAATCTCCATTCTACCGCCTAAATATTTTTCTGCTGGCAGAATCAGACTGTTGACTCGAGCTGAGACTAAACCAAATCCGCCAGCTTTAGGCTTACTTGGCGTATTAGAGGTTGCTTATATAAGACTGCTATAAAAAATAATGAATTGGGAATGACTACTTTTCATTTTTAAATGTTATAAACTCGGCGCAAGTGAGTCATAGCCTAGGACATTTCAATAAACCTTTTCTTTTTTAATTCTGATAGCATTAAATTACCAAAAGCATTTGGAATCGCAACAATTACATGTCATGCCTATCATAGGAAAATCACACGCTTGCAAACACTTCACTGCATATATTTTTTTCGTTTCACATCTTTCCGAGTTTCTTTTTTTTAAATTTCTCATATACACCACAATAAATTGGCCGTTGTCTAGAACCATCAGCCAGTTTATCAAGGTAAAATTGTGGATTTTTGTTCCTTTTTAAAAATTTCACATAAGTCGCATAATTTTTCATGAAATTTTGCATAAGTTCTGGTATAATTTGCTTTTCAGGTTTTGTCTAGTTTTGGGTTACCGAACACTGGGTTGCACCGTTTCGGACGTCCTCAGCGAGAGGTTCATTGACATCCCATTACCGGAAAAAGTTGAAGCTTTCAATGAGAATCGCTCATTGCCAAGATCAGTTAGTCTGGATATTGAATGTTTGAAAACGTTCTATCGTCAAAAACCGATACAAACTGCGTATGAATGCTGCGAAGAAGTAATGCATGGACAGACATTGTGTGGCTTGGTCGTCTTCCAGCATCAAGTTTGTGCTGTTAAGAGTTATAAAGTTTCAGCATAATTTGAGTTTCAGTTAAGGGCAGCAGTGCTTAGCTAACATTTCGAAATGGTAACACGGTCCTTAGCATGGAAGAAGAGGGGAGAACTTTTTCGAAATCATTTTTGCCATAAAATTAAATAGTTTTCCGTGAAATAACCTTGTCAGTTTCACCACCAGCTTTGATTTACTTTTTTATAATCTTTAAAGATACTTCATAAAATTAATAAAGCACTGAATATCGCTGGCAGAAGGCAAAACCTGCTGCGCAAAGCGTGTTCCTCGTTTTTCTTATAAGTTGTGGACTTTCGTTATCTGCGAATAGTGCAAGTAAGAAAGCCTGGAGCTGCGCACGTAGTGATGACGTTCTACTGTGCCAGCAGGGTAATTGCTCTATCTAGATTTTTTTCAACCGTTCGAATGGTAAATGTATACAGACATAACAGCATGAAATCAAACACGCCATCACGTTGGTTTTAAGCAACCCTCGAAAAGAATGAATATGGAGGGGACTTTCGTCTTTTGACATATTTATCATAGCAGATATTGATACAGCGGAAAGCATTTCAAGGGAATAGTATTTTCCTAGCGTATTGCTACGTTAGACGAAAGACCCACACTAACAATCTGAATGTCTTGCAGATTTATTCAAAAATTTTTCTTAAATTTAGATGCTTTCTAAAATCGCGATTTTTTTTTTTTTCAAATTAATCGGATCATGAATGAATCAGTTCAGTATATCGTTTTATATTTTTTAAGGAAATGAGTCTGACAATGGCTGTTTCCAGTGTTTGGTGCCAGATAATAAAGTTAGTTTGAGCTTGACCGAGAAAAAGTAGTAAACAACAGGAGTGAATATGATCAAAATCAGAAAAAAAAATTGGCCAGCGCACGGGCTGCCCGTGCGAAGATGCGTTTTTTGCAGAGTTCCCCGC